GGTGTCATGACCCTTATGACCCCCTCCCCTGGATCCGTTAAAGGGTTCGAATTAATCAAAAAACCTTGTGGGCTTTTGCGTCACGATTTGAAGGCGGTTTTATTGGGGTTTCAATCGTCTGGTTCGATAAGAGCCAAAGCACAAAGTTGGCTTTCCTTTCCCCATAATTTAACCAAGGAGTTTTCTTCTGGATAACACATGTAATGATCGCAACAAACACCCCATACCAAGCACCACTCCCTATAAAGCCTCGCATTGGAAATTACACTCATTGCAGGCGATGTATGGAGCCCCCAGGTGCGAAATATCAGCCTCCTACGCCAGCTACACAACGACGCTCAATTTGCGTGCATTTTTCGGCGCTTTAGGTCAAACCAGCGGCCGTTATGGCCCTTAATCATCAGCCTCCTGCCCGGCCATTTGCTTAATGAATAGAGGCGATTCCCAATCGCCATCCAATAAATTTATCGGTGTAGACGTGCAAAAAACAATCGCGCCCGATCTACAAAGGCGGCAAACGTAGCGCGACACAAAGAGGCCTAAGCTTTTTAATTAATCCCGATCGCCCGATTCCGCTAAACGACAGAACAACCGGACATAAATCTGGCAAGTTCGGGGGCCCGATTCCAGAATCCGCAAATGCAAATTGTCGGCACCAGAAAAACAACAGCAATAAGCAAAAATAAACGAAAGAAAACCAACTCGACGTTCATCTCGTTTTCATCAAGGGCACATTATGGGGATTTTCGGGGTCCGTTCATCGACGCTGTCGTCTAAAAAACGTGCCGTTCCGATCAATACATAAAAATTTCATATTGAAAATGATTGGGGGCGGCAGAGGTGGGCGGCAAGGGGCAGTCTTGATTCGCCAACCCATTGGCGTACGGACATTAACCAGCGCTCTAAAACACCCAAATAACGGACAGTGGGACAGAGCCCCAAAAAATCACACTTTTGCAAATTTGCAATAATCTCTCTCAAGATTTTTACCAATGAATGGTAAAATCCGCTGAAGATCGAAGATTGTTCAAATTATTGATTTGTTTTCTAGGTGAGTGTTCAGATTGTTCATAGTTGTGAATTTTTGCATTTTTTGGGTACCGCAAAAAAACCGCTTTGTGCAGGTTGTGCCCCATACATTAGACTCTATTGCCATTGTGGTGCCGAGCCCATTTTCTGCAAAAAATGCATGCCAAGGCTTAAAGCAGCAACAACGCTACACATAAAAACTGATGATGGTGGAAAAATACACCGAAGCGTATTTTGATTGATAAATAGAGACAATAAATGACTGAAACCCAGGAATAAATTTCATTTGGAATTGAAACACAGTCAGGAAAGTATATACAGTATGACTAAAAAAAAACATTTTCAATCACCAGGAACAAACGCTCAAGCTGGCAGTCACGCAATTTGAAAGAAAACCTTTCGGGCATGAGTAAATTTCCATAGGTCGCCTCAGATAATGACGTCACTGCCAAAAAACGTAGTACACACTACAGATTATTGATGGTCCGATCGACCACCCAACAGTAAAAAGGGTCAAAATGCGTCAAGCCGGGGCGCTAAAATGTATATAAAAATTGTAACATTCCAATAAGGGTTCGAGCCTTGAAAAATTGCCAAAAAAACTGTAAAATGCAGGGTTTCAGACGATTCAAAGGGCGCAGGAAATCGATTTCCGTATCGAATCAAGCCTGGGCTAGAAAAAACGAAAAATTGTCTTTTTGCGATGACTTTTTATCAAGAAAACCTTTTGAAAAGTTGCAGATCTTGCACAGAAAAACATTGTTGCTTGCAACATGAGCTCAAGAAAAATATCACAAGAAGAAACGTTTCCATTTTTTCAGGCCTGGGCTGCATTCGTTAGGAAAATCTGCATCTTCACTGCAACTTTTCAGAAAATTGAAAGAAGAACTCCATCTGCATTTGAATCTTTAGGCTCTTCAGGGACTTGCATTAGCGAATGAAGCCTGGTGGAGTGAAGATGAAACCCATTCTTCTTGCGAGCATGAGAGCGCACAAAATAAATCGGAATCAGGCATTGTGTTCGACGATTCGCAAAATGGCAACGCCATAAGTAGGCAAGTAATGCACTAACTACATAAGTTCTCACGCATTCTTCGGCTCGCATAGAGTCACATCGCGTCGGCAGCGCTTAAATATGCGAAAACGACACTGCAATTATAAGGCATCTCTTTAAAGGGGCAACAAAATAGTAATAATGAAAAGCAATTTTTCGCTGAATCTGCAGCCCTTTGGGTCGCCGGAATGATTAAGCGCCGGGAAAGTCGGGAGAAAGAAACGGGCGGGCCAAAGAACAATATAGAGCCAAGAAAAACGAGAAAATAGTTTAATAATAATTGCGCTCGGGCAGCGCAGCGCGACCGAGGAACAGGGGTGGCGAGGTCAGGGCTTAAAAACCCAAAATCCTAGTAGGTTCTTCCCAAAGAGACAAATGCATTTGTCTAATCTCAGATTAACTCTACATTAGTCCAACAAAACTCCACCCGGACCCACTAATTAAATCACGGCCAAGTCCAACCCGATTTGAGTTCTCTCGGTTGTGAGAGGCTCAAAATGCTCAAACAATGGAACCCAGCCAATGGCAGCCATAATAATTGCCTCAACACCGTTCCGCGTGAAAAGACTGCATTCCGGAACCCGTTGCACAATAATTTGTAATTTGTTCAGACCTGATTGGTTTTCATCAGCCGATTAGGGTAATCGGACGGCCGTAATCACATCCCAGTGAGCCGATGATGATGATAGCAAGAAGGCATGGCCTACGTATTGTTTCAACGGCCTACTAGACGGTCATACCGGCCATGAAACCACCTTGCTGCTTGCGCAAGAACGTTCCTATTTGCCCCGGTATTTGTTACGGCTGTTTCCGTGACAACAGCAACGGGCTACAGGGGCTATGACAAAAGAACTTGAAGATTTGAAAAAGCAGCTACTTGTGCTTGCGAAAGGTCAGGAAGACATTCTTGTTTTAGTCCAGTTTCGCTTCGCTCTTTTGATAACATTCCACAATTTTGATTGCTTTGGACCAATAGGGTGGGCACGACGTCGTTTATTCCAGACAAAACTGTGATTTGCTGATGACCGAAAAAAAATGAATTGATAATCAAGTCGACCGGGCAAAGTGTCACGTCGTACTGACGCAGCCCTGTCATGTCACCGGCAATTGTTTCTGACATGGACACAATCGCACATTTCAAATTACCCGTTCATATTCCAATTTATTTCGTGAATCGCGCGACTTGCCCGTGATAAATCATACGCGGCTTGGAGAAATGGGAATGATTTTCGGGGCAAATTGGAATTTATTGCTGATGAATGCGGTGCCGGTTTTTTCCGGCGTCTTCTGCAGTTCGATTGGTTGGGGTTCCCGGTAAG